CCGGTGAGACCGGTGAGGCCCAGCGGCTGCAAACCGCTCAGGCCTCGCTGCCAGAGAAGGGGGGGGACCAGCGAGGAGACCGGGGGTGGTGGTGGAGGGGGGTGGTAAAGGAGGCCGGGGACGGGAATCAGCGGGGATGGGGGAGGAGCTTACCTGCTGCTGGTGCTGCGTCCTCCTCCTCCTGCTCTGCCTGGAGCTCTCCCCCCCCCCCTGCGAGTATCGCGGGTCCCCTTTCTTGTTTGATGTAATACCCTGTTGCAGTATACCGAACCAGCCTACTTAGAGTGTATTGGGTGGGGGCTTCGGAGCCCCATGACCAAAAAGAAGTATAACTTACAGTTACATGCAAGTATCAGGATATTGAATGTAGAATTCAGCATGCTTATTCAAATGTGTCATTGAAGAAAAACAATACAACTGAGGGCCAGTTTTGTGTAGTGGTTTGGAGCATGAACTCTAATCTTGGAGAACCGAGTTTGATTCCCCACACTTCCACATGCAGCTGCTGGTTTGACCTTGGGTCACTTACAAGTTATTTCAGAGTTGTTCTCTCACAAGCAGCTCTCGAGACAGCTCTCTCAGCCCCACCCACCTCACAGGGTGTCTGTTGTGGGGAGGGGGAGGGAAAGGAGATTGTAAACCGCTCTGAGACTCCTTTGGGTTGTGAAGGGCGGGGTATAAATCCAATCTCTTTGTCTTCTTTCTGGTCCTCGAGAGCAGGTTGAGTGGTATGTCGTCCATACCTGGTGAAATCTTTTGTTGTTGTTGTTGTTGTAAAGAAGTCTACCAAGTTAAGCTGTTAAAAAACTCCAACTGCAACCACTAATCCATCTTAATGTTCTGTCCACAGGTGTACGCAGTGGACTGGAGTCCCGATGGCCAGCGGGTGGCAAGTGGAGGCAAAGATAAATGCCTGAGGATGTAAGCTTCCTTTGCTTTTGCATGGCCCAGGGGACTGAAGTACCACTGATGCCTCTGATGTTCCTTCCATTCTTCCCCTCCCCTTCCTTGGAGTGGTGGTGGGGGGGAGTTGCAGTATGGTTCTGTCTGTGTCTCTTTGCAAAGTAACCTAAGAGGGGGGGGGGTAAGGAGGTTACAGGTTTCAGGTTTCAGCAGTGAAGCAGTTCGCTCAGGGTGTGTAAAATGTAGAGAAGAGGAAGAAGTGAGAGGGAATGAGTGGCTGAGGCTAAGGAGTGAACGGGAGCGAGCTGAGGTATGTCCAATGAGGACCCGGGCTTAGGGTGTTTGAAACAGCCTTTTCTTCCCAATTTTCTTTGGCATTTAAGAACATAAGAGACGCCAATGTTGGATCAGGCCAAAGGCCCATCTAGTCCAACACTCTGTCACACAGTGTCCAAAAATACCAGGTGCCCTCAGGAGGTCCAGCAGTGGGGCCAGGACATTAGAAGCCCTCCCACTGTTGACCCCTCCCAAGCACCAAGAAGACAGAGCATCACTTGCCCCAGAGCCCCTATCTATACCTTGTGGCTCATAGCCACTGATGGACCTCTGCTCCATATGCTTATCTAATTCCCTTTTGAAGCCGTCCATGCTTGTAGCCGCCACCACTTCCTGTGGCAGTGAATTCCATGTGTTAATCACTCTTTGGGTGAAGAAGGACTTCCTTTTATCCGTTCTAACCCGACCGCTCAGCAATGTCATGGAGTGCCCACGAGTTCTGATTCATGTTTCTTTGATGCCACAAAAACAGGCATCCGTTTTGATGGTAATAATTCTATCATTATTGGGAGTGGGAGGAATGACTGCTCTTTTGTCCAGAGCAGAATGGACCTATAGTCAGAAACAGATTTTATAGACTCACTAAAGTGTGCTCGATAACATCCCTCGTCTGGTTCAGGTGGGTCGCCGTGTTGGTCTGAAGCAGCAGAACAAAGTTTGAGTCCAGTGGCACCTTGAAGACCAACAACGTTCAGTTCTGGGCATAAGCGTTTCGTCTGCATGTATCTGAAGGAGTGATCCTGCACACGAAGGCTTATACCCAGAATTAAACTTTGTTGGTCTTAAAGGTGCCCCCGCTGGATTCAAGCTTTGTTCTGTCCCTAGTCTGGGTTTTTAAGCTTCATTATTGAGGCTTTGAAG